TCCTGCTGACAGAATTGGGATAGGAGTCTCCGTAGTATTTGTCCAACATGAAATTTGCCCACAATGAATCTTGTTGCCTGAATTATTCCTTAACTTGCATAAATTGAAATGATTAAGCTGCTTCAGTCCCTTAATCCCAAGTCCACTAGTAAGTGGGTTTAGCAGTTTTCTGCCAACTAGCCCAATGGAGTTGCTTCCTTTGGCCAGCCCAGAGAAACATGTTGAAACATCTTTCCAGTTGTAATTGTGTGCTTTTCCATTTGCATGATGTATGAGTGGAAAGTGGTTAGGTTACTTTTTATCAAGGTTTTTATGCCTCCATTTGAGAGAAAAGGTTCGTGATTCTTTTTTATATAAAATGCACGTGCTATTTTTTCTTGCAAACTTCCTTATGTTTGAAATGCCAAAGAACCTCAGCTGAAATAAATCTCAGAAGAGATCAACATAAAAAATGCCACAGAAATGTGGCAGCAATGACCCACAATTAGGTAACAACACCTTAAAGGTAGGGACAAAGCATCCTAAAAGAGGGGAAATCACAGCTCTATAGCAACATCAAAATTTTTGTTACTTCAAGTTGAACACACATCATGTCCATGCCCAAATGTCTCATTAGACAATTAAAGGGCTTTAATAAGTCAGCTCCTTTTCGAGTGGAGTCGTCATTGCCTCCAAAAATTTTAGTACTTCTGTTGATCTCCAGCAGTACGAGATTCTTGAGATATTGCTGCCACAACAACATAAAAATATTCCCCTTGTGCTGCAATGGGAAAACTCTAGCTTTTCTTGGTCTCATTTAAAATGCGCGATGACAACACGGGACTCTCAGATGGAATATGCAGTAGAAAAATTCTAGTTTTTCTTCGTCTCTTCCAACACATCGGGCGAATTTCCTCTGATACGTCATCTCGGCAACACAAAAGAATGTCTCGTTGGTTACCTGATACACAGGACGAGATTGACTTTCTTCTGCACCGCAACTTGAAAGAAAATCCCGTTACTCAAGACGAGGATGACTTTCTTCTGCTTTGCAAAACGAAAGAGGATCCTATTGATTGTTTGCTGCGCAGGGTTGAGATGAATTTTTCCTTCACAATAATATGAAAGTAGATCCCGTTGATCGCTTGCTATGTTGGACGATGGCGACTTTCTTCTGCGCCGCAACACGAAAAAGGATTTTGATGATCGTCTGCTATGCAAAATGGGAACGTTTTTTTTCTTCACAGCAATATGAAAGAGAATCTCGTTGATCGTCTGCTACACAGGTCAGAGCGATTTTCTTTTGTTTCACAATGTCAAAGAAGAAATCATTGATCGTCTGCTTCTCGGGACGGGGATGACTTTCTTCTTCTGAGACGCTGATTGGCTGCCTTTGAATCGATGAAACTCTACAATCCACTCTATCTCCTTCTCCTTCTCCTCCCACTCTTGATTTTTTTTTTCTCAGTTTTAGACTCTATTTAAAGTTTAAGTTGAACACCTAGCATTAAAAGCACTTGCATTTAAAAAATAAAAAAACAAGAATTAGCCTAAACTCGCTCCTTCCAACCCTCCAAATTCCTATGCTGCAAAAACAATTATTAAGCACATGTTTTGATCCCCTGCCAACGCACAGAGAGAAAAACATCGTTTGCCAACAAAGCTAATCCAAACATTTTAACATTATGCATGCTTATAATATTATATATATCTATAATAAGAAAAATGCTTTGATTTCAATATTTTTAGACAGTGAGGTTCATCTCATCTGAAAATATAGGGACAATTGATACACCATCAACAAACTTTTATGATCCAACACGTATTTCAATATATGACACGAATCTCAAGACGATCTTTTGAACAAGAAATGTTCAAACTTCAATTAAAAGTGAACCAGAACTCTGGTTTTAATAAAATTACAGTCAAAATGACCGGCTCGACGAGATAGATCCACTGATACAAAAGTTGATCTAATTCAAGTCAAATCAAGCTCAAATCAGGCCATTAAACAATTTTTTAAAACTTTACGAGCAAATTTGGAAGGTCAAATGAATATCAAATTTTGCAAGCTTATAGTCAAATCGAGTGTCTCGATAAGACGAACCCAACTACTCGAAGTTTGCTCAATTCTAACTTCATTAAGGCACTACAATGTTCATTAAATGTTATGTCATCAAAGGAGGCACTTTGAACCGTCCTATCCAAATAGTTCATATTCATGCATTAACTATTCTCAGAACTCTATAAATAAAGGCATGCACTTCTCTTGAGAAGGAAAGAGAGTTTGAGGCTTAAGAAAGAACTTGATGCTTTGAGAAGGAGCTAAAGTTCAGCATCATTCCTTCGACCGCCGCCAATCGCTATTGGTTGTAGCCCGTTCCTTGTGACAAGTTAATCCACATATCGACTTTGTAACTTGAGAGAACTTGTAACATTTTCTCGTCTATGAGACAAATGATTGTAATTATCATTTTATAGTGGAACTCTTCAGCTGGATAAGACATTGTGGTTTTTCCCCTTTACGAGTTTTTTACGTAGAAACTTCTGGAGTCACTGTTACTTGTCTTTTCTCTTCAGAGTATATGTTGAATCTTCATACCACGCTAAGACGATAATATATTGCTCTATTTTCGTGAATTTTTCGCACGCATCCCTTCTCCTTTTTAACACTTTATATTTATTTAATTAATCACAAATCAACCAAAACTAAATTGTAAAAAAAAAATTTAACCT